TGGTTGATACTCAGCTGCTGTCTCTGTGATCCTGAAGATAATTTCGATGGTCCACTTTCACCCTGGCTTTTGATGCTTTGAGCAGCCTCGGCTCCAACTCCCTTGGCAAGAGCGCCGGACTCTAAACGAGGATATCCCATCTGAACAAAACTTTGAGTAGGGATCCTGCATTTCCGCCGTGTTTGTTTTCAGAACTTGCTCAAAGGAGGTAAAATGTAGGGATTCTACTCCCATATTCCCTACTAAGAGCCAGTAAGTTCTAATCGTAGATAAAGGACACCATCTTGAGAACAAGCCACATCAGGTTCGCATCGATGCAGACACTGGGCGCCAGGAAGAGGTCGGCGAGGAGCCAGCCAGGAACAACAGGTCTCCACAAAGAGGTAGAGTGGTTGTTTTGTCTTATATCTTTTGGTTAGGGCTTAGGCTCTTACGGCTTGTTGAATGTATGTACAAATATTCAGGGAAATTTTGATGAGCGCATGTGTGGGGAGTCCATCTGCGGACACCATCAATGCCGGACATGTGGTGTATGCAGAGGTTTCTCAAGTCGGGGGGGCATGAGACCTCAAGACTACGTGTGGGTTATACAAGTGTGCGTGCATATATATATATACATATATATATATAAATAAGAATACGGAAATCAGTCGTTTCCCCCTTCGGGACTTGAGAAACACCCATACAGATCGACGTGCTACATAAGCTGTAATTGGAGGCATGGTCATGTGTACTGCGACTGGCTTCCTGTTGCGGCGTGTGTATTGACGGACCGGATTATCATTATCAAGCGTCAGTCTTTGTGGCATCGGTTTTGACGAGAGCCTTGAAGCTGCTGTCAGGAGCTATCGCTAGGGCAGGCCCGGTACGTCGCAGCCGCGACACATGGCTGCAAGACCTTTTTTCTCGTAGCTCGAAATTTCATGTGCAACATACTGCAAATGTTAGATACACAAAATCAAAAAGCTGTTCACACCTGAAATCGCCAGAGCAGTGGCAGGATATTCAGTTTAAATGGTCCTGATTTTCTGCATTTCTGGCGTGAGATTGCATTAGGGAGATGCCACGCTGAGTACCCTAGCTGTCCTTGCTCAGATTCAGACTTCATATGTGGCCTATGCTGCCGTGTACGAAAGTCACTTGTTCTTAGGCGTTGAGCTGCTGCAATTTTCAATCTGTATCAGAAGGGCTTGCGTTTTGCCATTTACAGCACTGCGTACGTGCTGCTGTTGATTCTGATTTCATCTCGGCGCTGTTGCTCAAGTATGCTAATCCCAATATACTATCTGATTGTAGTAGTTTCCATTTGATTTTCCATTACCCCAATATAACCCCATGGTACATGTATCTGAGGAGCGTTGCTGGTAAGATCTATGCCGTCCCCTGCCATGCCAGACATGCATTGGAGGCGACCCCCACTGGGCTTTGGGCTGAGATTCCAGTTTTGGGAGGGGACTGTTGTGGCGTGTATCGAAAATCACGTTCTACAAGTTTTTAGACTAAAGACAGTAGGCACCACTTCGGATGCTTAAGTCGGTTGCAGATCTTGACTTAGCTGTCGTGCTTCTTTGGTGTTCTACGGGACTGTTGAAGTGGCTTGTGACTCACGCGTAGAAGACCGTCGGATTCTGTGCCTTCGTCAGATTGACTAGACATCCAGCGCAGCAGTTTTGCGCAATATCCTACATGTGATCGGTTAGCCGCCAAGTCGAGTACTTTAGTATGTGGAAGCCCAGATTGTTATTTGAGGCCCGCTAACCTTCAGCTGCCACCTGCTGTGCAGCATGTATCTTTGACCAGTGAAAGGCAAGATCTGTAACTTTACAGGTTTTCATCCATTCTGATGGTACAGCCCTGGGTCCAAACTCAAGCTGCTCCTATGTTTCTCTCCTCACAGTACACAGAATCGGGCGCTGGACTTCAGGCTGCCTTGACGGTGGAATGGCTATATTGGGGTTCTATTGGGGTTCTATTGGGATTCTATAGGGGTTGGTGTGGAATGTGGAGTAGGTTTTGGTGCTTGCATCACACTCAAAGCCTGACGCTGACAAGATTTTTCCTTGAGGCGGCACGTGGCTTGAGTTTCTTGCATTTTCCTGCCCTGAACTCCGAACAGGCAGAAGGTGCAACCCTCCATCCAGCATGATTCTACACGGAGATCTTTGAATCATGCTGAGTGCGCTTGCTTTAAGAACCTAAGCTGGGACTGCGTCAGAATCATTGTGCTTGCAGCCCTAAGTTTTAACATGTTGCAACCTGATCAAAGTCGTGGACCTCATTGCTCACGAATGCATGCGTAGATTCAAACGGGTTGTGTAAGTACCATGTGAATATGGATATTTGGAACACTTGCAACTGCGCGAAAGCCTTCAAATGAGGGCCAAGTCCCGCAGATCCCGAGCGTGTAGCATTGTTACAGATGAATCGTTCATCCAACCACTCAGCGCTATCTCCAAATACTCAGAGCATCCCCTTTTCATCAAAATTGATAGCATGGCTTCGATCATCGTTCTGATAATGTCCTGATCATCAGAATTGCATGCACTTTTCATACAGAAGTTTCCAACAACAACCCCCTAGGGCACCCCCCTTCCCCTTCTTGAGAACCCCTCCATATGACGCTACATCATGGTGCGTGGAGGTGGACCCGGAGCAAGGCAGCGTCCGGGAGTTTGGGCAGGAGTTTCCCTATGGCGGCCTCAAGTACCAGGCTACTTGAATTTTTTTCGTATGAAAGGAAGACTTGGATGCCTAGACCAATCTGTCAGGAATTCCCTGAGAAGAACCGCGGCCCCTGTTCCTACATCCCCTGTAGCACCGGATGTCGTAGGATCAAAGGCGGCCTGCGCAGGAATTCTCGAGAGTTGTGAGATGTGCTAACACAAGGGCCATTTCATGAAAGTTTTTGCTATGAGGTTCGGTTCAGGGGTTTAGGTTTTCAGTGTACCACGTTCTCACCAAAACCATCCCTTCAAGTAATGAAGGCGGTAGATTCCATCATACGTGTTTTGACAATGTTTTGTTTGCAAGGAGACGGCGGGGAGACAGGCGAGTACAGGCTTGAGGATTTCGAGAGTCGAAATTGGGGATCGCAATACACGGGTTGGGGCTTGCAGCTTTGGTCTTTTGAAGCCGTTACCATTTTGTTGCCCATGCTTGAGGTAAAACCATCAGAAGTGGTTGTGATGGATATCCGGCAAGACTGATGTCGAGGATGATCCTTCACACCGTTGTTGATGGTCATGCTGGTGTTGATTATGGTAGTTTCCCAAAATAAGGGGACCCTAATATAGACCCCAATATATACTATAGTTCTTATTATAGGGACCCCCCAAAATGGTACCCCTAATTTTGGGAAACCCTAAGCCCTACAAACCCCCATATAATCCCTATGAATCCCTATATTCCCCTATAAAACCCTATAAACCCTTTTAAACAGGTACCTCAAATTTTGGGAAACCCCCCCCTATAATGTAGACGCTACAGCTCCTATTTTAGGCGGGCGTCTTGAGTCAATGCTTCTGAGGGAGCTATGCAGAATCCCATGCCTGCCCCAATAGACTACATTAGGGTTTAGGGTTTAGGGTTTATTCCCATAGCAAGCCCATTATAGCCCCGTTGTAAGACTTTATGAGTAGTCTGCCTAGCTCACTAGGTGCCCCAGGGTCCCACAAAGTAGGAATCTACTCTACTATCCCTATAAAATGACGTTAAATTATTCCTATATGACCTCTGTATCCCTTTATAAAAGGCAAAGAAGAGCTTGCCCAGGCAGCAGCTTCTGGTCTCGACGGCTGTGCCCTTGGCTTGAGATGGGTTTAGGGTTCCCATACCTGGGTTTAGGGTTTAGGGCTTAGCATTTAGATCTCCTATATAAACCCGAAATAGCTCCTGCATAACATTCCGCAGAGTCTTTTGGAGGCTAAATTTTAGGTCGCTTGGGGTCTGGGCTTAGGACTTTTGATGATGTTGCTGCAAATTGAAGGGAAGGCTATGTGGCGGTAACTTCCTTTGGCCCTCTCACCCTCAACCACATAGTTCACACCCCAAACCCTAAAAACCCTAAAAGACGTAGAAGTTGTCCTGGGGTTCTCTTCAACCAGCATTGGGCAAGGCTCATTATACCCAAACCCAAGCGCCTCAAACCACGCAAAGCCCCCAACCTCCAACCCTAAACCATCCTAAACCATCCTAAACGCGAAACTCAGACTCCCCTAAACCCTAAACCCTGAAGACCAAAACCAGGTGTCTATGGCATTCCTTTCAATGCTACGCGCTTCCTGAAAATCGACCCTGTCCGCGCCACAAGCCTTGAGGCAGCAGGAACAACAGCGAGCCCTACTCACTGGATTCAGGATGTATAGGATTTAGCGAATCAAATTGTACCCGATACCATCATCTTTTTATCCGGAACCACCGGAAAGGGGCCCCCATTTCTGGAAACTTCCATGTGGCCTGACTTGGGGTAGTCCTCCAGGACCCCCTTTTCAGGTGGCACCTAGCAAAGGGACCCGAGAATTTCTGTGACTTTGATTTCTCACCCCATCATGAGACATAACAGTTGTTGAATCTGGACCATTGACAGGAGTGCTGGACGTGTCAGGCTTTCTACCACGCAACTATGACCGGCGCTCGTATGCCAACCTCCCACATGCTAAGGCCGTATGGGATGCCCGCCGGAACATCAGTCAATCAATGACCTGAATATTGTCGCAAAGGCTGTCTGGACTTTGGCCCGAACATCGTCATTCACTTGATGTTTTGAATTTGGCCACAGCCCGAAACTTTGAACTCATAGCTGCAAACTTTGATCATGGGACTACGAAGCCTAAGGCTGCAAATCCAAACTTGCGGGCCAAAGACTTGAACTTAAGCCAAAGGCACAACGGTTTCTTGCGCAGCTTCTTACCCAGACCTTTTGAGCCTTCAGAGCCTCCCAGAACCCCTGAAGCCTTGACACCCTCAAACTTACAAATGTGTACATCCTAACCTCCAAACAGGTTGGCGATGCCCTGCCGAGTGGCGGCTTCAAGTATATCACAGCTGTGGTGGCCCCGAACGGTTGCTCGGCAGCGGGAGTAGGTCTAAGAGCTCGAGTTGGATGATGTCGAACTTACTGATGGTAGGGGTTGAGGGAATCTGATCCCTATATAATCCTGATACAAATATATTTCCTCCTTCCCTACTAACCCCCAGTAAGTCAATGCTTGGAGCTTATGATTTCAGGAAGCCGGGCTTGTTACACACATGAAGTAGCGTGAGGTGTGAGCCACGGGGGGCACCCTTAATCGTTTGCCCAAATTAGATGATTTTAACTTGGACCATACAAGTAGCTTGAAGCAAGGATCCCAAATCTCAGAAGGTTCTGGTGTAATAGTAATAACAATACAAATGATAATAGCATTTGTAGTAATCATAGTAATAACAACATGGGGACAACCCGACAAGTACAGATTCAGGCAAGCTGTACATGCCGCCTTTCGACGCCCAGCAGGCCATTCAACTCTTGCAGCCCTTCTACTTATTACTTGGAGGTTCAGTGTGCAGTAACCACGACCCCAAAAAGGTGCGTCCAGCCCCCCAAGCAGCCCCATAAGTCCCCTAATATGGTTATAGCCGGGTTTCAACAGTCAGGTAAAACTTGGGCAAGCACCCCTGCCCTCCAAGCACGTAGACAATCACAATCCCATGATCTTTTGGAGTCCTACAGTAAAGGGTACCCAAGATAGGCCTTGGAGTTTGACCCTGCCACGGCGCAGTGGCGCTTTCTTGGGCCGCGCTTCGAGGAGGGAGGTCAGCCGCTGGGCGCGGTATGAAACCTGTCTCTTGCTGGCTGTTAGAAGCGAATAAGGGAAAACATTGCATAGAGGTAATATAGGGATGCTATTCCCGTGTTCCCTATTAAGAACTAGGGATCAGTAAGGAGGAGAATGTAAACTTAGTTCCGGATTAGGGCCGGCCATTCATGTAAACTACCATATAATGAATATTTGATGAACAGGGGGCGGCGGGAGGAGCGCGGATGTTTACACTTGTCAGAAATGGAGTTACAGGGAATTTAAACAGACACCTAAAAGAGGAGTTCAGCACTCAACCGCAGGATTTGCGCAGGTGAGCGGGGGTGGGCTGAGTTCCGCAGTGCTCAGAGTTCAAGTCACGATGTTGCGGAAACTGCAGCTTGCCAAGGAGATATGTCACTGCCGTCCTGGCCAACAATGGCAACCGGGCATTTGGATCAGTTACCGAAAGCAGAGCTGTTTCTGTGGGGTTGACGTGCCTATGACAAAGCAGAACTACATGCCCCGAGTACTTACCGCCAAAGTAGACCCGCACCAACAGAGGTACTTAATATAGGGGCCTAAATAAATACCAATATTATGGTTCCGTATTCCTTATATAATCATGGTCTATGGTACCTCAAATGGACCTCAAGGCTCAAGGTGAGGTAGCTCCTTCCCGCGGTTTGGGCCGCTAATCTCCTGTAGAGGTACATCGCTCATCTCTTGTAGGTGCGCCATGGCAGGAGGTTACAAATCCTACCTCATTAAAGCAAGCACATTGCTTGCCTTCGGTATCATATGGGCTCAGCACTTCTGGTGTCTGAAGCTCCAAACACAACACGCACAGGTGAGCCAGAGCCACAATGTGTCAGATGGCATATGTTGCTCTGCCTCCCATCCATCGCATTTGATCCTGCCTGAGGATCGCCCTGCCAAGGTCCTTAATTGGTCAAGCTTTGACCGCACTCGCAAAAAAACAAAGCATCACAAATCACTTGATTTACTCGCAACAT